CAAAAGCCAGGCGCAGCGGGACGCTCTGCTGGCAGAGCCGCCAACCCGCCACCGCTCTGCAGAGGAGCCAGAGAGAAGGGCCAGGCTTGGGACAGGTGCAGCCGTGGGATGCCTCTATGTTGGACATAGTGCCGAGGTGGCCAAAAGCCGCTTTCTTTCTTTTTGCCTCACCAGCCATAAACCTCACCGCATGTCACTGTGTGGGAGCTACAATACACTTCCTCCTTAGAATGAGTAAACAGAAAAGTATTGATTTATATATAATTAGCATATGTATTTTACTCATATTCTCTCCATTTGTAGAGCCTCAGTTGCAGGGCTGTGCAAGGTTATGTCACAAACCATATTAGTGTACACAAAACACCCTTTCTTAAGGCATTAAAGGAGTCATTTCCTCTGCAGAGCTTGTCCAACTGCTTCAAGAGTTTTCCACCAGACAAACACTGCCTCTGGACAGGGAAATGAAGTGGTTGTGCATACACACAGAGAGGCAGGCAGCCTGTAAGAGGCACAAGTAGCCTCACATGTGTTACAAAAGACACAGCTGCTTTAATGTTTGTGAAGGTGTTTGTGAATTGCAAAGCATCTCTTTCAAATGCTCAAAGAGCCCTTTTTAACTGTTCTGATGAAACTCATAATAAAAGTGTTCTGTGAAGTGTTATTGCATTCATCACTCTTTCTCTCTCTCTCTCTTTCTCACACATGCACGCGCACACACAAACACACTCACAACTGAATTGGATTTATAATCCTCTTGCATGAGAGGAGACAACTTCAAAAGCTTCAGAAAATGTTTATCTCAAGAATTATCTTAAAGTGAAAACTGCACTCCCTAGTCTAGTTGGATTTACAGTTATGGAGGAGGCTAGATAAACAGAAGGGGACTTCAAGAGAACTTCAAAACTTCTATACACATCCAAAAGTGAAAATTGTGGTGATAAGTAAAACTTTTCTTTCCTGTGATTTAATTGTAATTTATGCATAATTTATAACTTTTACATGGGTTAAACAACAACAAGATCTAGAAGTTAGACACAGATTGTAAAGCATTTTCATAGCATGAACTGTGGTTAAAGGAATCTGCAATGATTATACTGACGCTTATGAAGAGTGAGCAGAATGTCCTGTTATTGAAATACTTCAGAGCACTGTATAATTGTTGCAAGGGTTACAGAAGCCACGAGAGGGAGCCAAAGACAATATTACATTTCCAAGATTAGCATTTGAAAAATTGTTTTTTTTTTTGGTTTAAAAAGAGGGAGGAGTCTGTGATTTCTCAGTAAATGTATACATAGAAGATTATAATTTATATGGAGAATAAGTTTTGCATATATCGGCCTGCCAGTCTGTGACCATAAATCTTCCCTTGAAAGAGTTTGCTAGGTGCGAATGAGCAGAATTCACAGTAAATTAATAAAAGGGGCTTTTGTCAGGACAAGGAGTTTGCTTCATCCTCTTGGGAAGCCTAGGTCAGAACAGATATCTTTTCAACACGGTCATACAGGTGGTGCTCAAGTTACGACCACGATTGAGCCCCAAATTTATGTTGCTAAGGGAAACACATGTTAAGGGAGTTTTGCCCCATTTTACTACTTTTCTTTCCACAGTTGCCAAGTGAATCATTGCATTTGTTAAGTTAGCAACATGGTCATTCAGTGAAATGTGGATTCCCTGTTGACTTTGCTGGCAGAAGTTCGCAAAAGCTGATCATGCGACCCCAGGACACTGCAACCCCCTTAAATAGGAACCGAATTTTGGTCATGTGACCATGGGATGCTACAATGGTCGTAGGTGTGAAAAACAGTCGTAAGTCACTTTGTAACTTTGTTGTAACTGTTGTAACTTTGAATGGTCACTAAATGAAGTGTAAGTTGAGAACTATATCTGTAATTTGAATGGTTGCTAAACAGGGGAGTTCTTACGAAAGGACTACCTGTACTAAGGCTAATGCTAATGAAGAGTTGTAATCATTATTAGATAAGTAATCGAATCTCTTATCTGCTACCACTCTCTGGAAGGATCGCCTTGTTCCAAGCCTCATCAAGGAAAGAGAATAGATACTGGATCTCTGACAGATCTGCACCAGAGGTGGGTTGCTCCCTCCATTACTGCCGGTTCCGTGCGCATAAAAATTGTGTGTGTGTGTGTGTGCTCACACTGGATGCGCACTGCCCTTGTGCACATTTGCACAAGAGTAGGTCTGCACATGTGGAAAATGTGGAAAAAAGAAAAAAAATCAACTTGTGCAATTACAATTTTTCTGCGCATGCACAGAACTGAAAACCAAGATGGCAGCCCCGTAGGAGAACCAGTTTGCGGGGGTGGCAGGCATTGGTCACTGCTGGTTCCAGCGACTCAGGCTGCCAAACCACTACGGTTCGTATGAACCTCTGATCTACACTACAATAAATCCCTCTCTGGTGACATAGACACAAAGTCACAAACTAGGCAGAAAATTCAAGGACAAGTCTTGGGGATAGATAAGAAACTTTATTGCAGTACCAGCATCTCTAATAATGATAAAAACAGCTTCTAAAGAGTCTGGAAGTCTAACTATATTATATGCATGTGCCATGGTTTAAATCCTGAGTTGATTTCTCCAACCCATTCTTTGTAAAGGACTACTTGAAGGCCATTTCCTTTCAGGCAGTTGTGGAGCTGTGGATGGCGTCTGTGCTGTGTTTGGATGGCCCAAGCTCTTCATCCCATCTTATCAGCTCCAGTCCTAGGATCTCAATTCTTTAGCCCAGACATTTATATTGTTTGCACATTGTTACAGTTGTCACTGCAGTCATGAAACCAAACACGATTTTTGCAGTGCTCTTAAGATTTCTGGCTTAGTTAAGCTTTTTGAAACCTACATAATAAAAACAAAGAAAAAGGCATCACAAAGGTGAATTTTTAACTAAATATTAATATATGTTTCCAGAAATGCAGCAAAGATGAACTTTTAGAGATGCATTTAATAATCATTTCACTTAGTGGGACACGGTGGCTCAGTGGTTAAGTAACTGAGCTTGTCAATCAGAAGGTCAGCAGTTCAGAAGTTTGAATTCCTAGCACTGCGTAACAGAATGAGCTCCTATTACTTGTTCCAGCTTCTGCCAACCTAGCCGTTCGAAAGTACATAAAAAATGGAAGTAGAAAAATAGGGACCTCTTTGGTGGGAAGGTAATAGCATTACGTGTGCTTTCGGCATTTAGACATGCTGGCCACATGACCATGGAGACGTCTTCGGACAACACTGGCTCTTTGGCTTAGAAACGGAGATGAACACTGCCACCTAGTGTCAGGAACAACTAGCATGCATGTGCGGAGGAACCTCTACCTTTTTAATTATTTCCCTTAAGTGAGGTTTGTGCTGCTCTAAACTGAGATTTGTGCAGCCAGAGATTATGGAATAAACCTTGTTGGATCCAGTTCTGGTCACAATGATGTAAAAAGAGCTGAGGCCTTGAAAAGAGTGCAGAGAAGAGCCACAAAGCTAGTAAAGGGTCTGGAAGCTAAATCCTTTGATGAAGGTTGGGTATGTCTAGCGTATCAAAGAGAAGGATTATGGGGGACATGATAACAGTCTCCCAGTTCTTGAGGGACTTTCACAGAGGAAAAGGGGTCGATCTATTTTCCAAAGTGCGAGAGGGTAGGGCAAGAAGTAAGGGATGTAAGATAGTTAAAAAGAGATCCAACTTAGAACTAAGGAGAAATTTCCTAATGGTGAGAACAATCAACCAATGGAACAACTTGCCTTCAGAAATTGCGGGTGCTTCATCGTTGGAGGTTTTCAAGAAGAGATTGGAAAACCATTTCTCTGGAATAGGTATAGGGTTTCCTGTGTGAGCAGGGGATTGGACTAGGAACAGCGGTCCCCAATCTTTCTGGCTCCATGGACCGACTGTGGTGATGATGGTGGTGGCGAGCAAGGGGGAAGGGATGGTTTCGTGCTCATCTAACACTTGTGCAGCCCGGTTCCCAACAGTCTGTGGACCAGGGGTTAGGGACCCCATGGACTAGAAGACCTCCCAGGTCCCTTCCAACACTATTAATCTATATTCTATGATTTGCACAAGCAGCTAAGTATAAATCAAATTATAAACCAGCTTATAATAGCAGTAGCAATAGCATTTAGACTTATATACCGCTTCACTGTACTTTTACAACCCTCTCTAAACGATTTACAGAGTCAATATATTGCCCCCAACATTCTGGGTCCTTATTTTACCAACCTCAGAAGGATGGAAAGCTGAGTCAACCTTGAGCCTGGTGAGATCCACACTGTCAAGTTGCAGCAGCCAGCAGTCAGCAGAAGTAGCCTGCAGTACTGCACTCTAACCACTGCACCACCATGGTTCATCAAAAGTAGCCTTCTTTACAAATGAGCTAAATCCAATCCAAACAAGTCATATTTGGCTTAGATTCCTGACAGTGGAGACCTTTTTCTCAAACATGACCTTGAAAGTTGCACAGGGTTTCAAAAAGGAGGGGAAAAAACAAGAATTACCAGGCATTCTGATTCTTTGAACAAGGGGGATGAAAGCTTCCAGGATACTTCGAATGCGTTGCCCTAGTAGAAAAGAAACAAGAAATCCGCTGTCAGAAAAGCAACCAAGTAGGTAATTAATATAGTTGACCATTAGTTTGAATTATTGAAGAATTGCTAATTTCCGTCATAGTGACCTTAAATTATGAATATAAGGCAGCTTGATTTACTAGTGCACTAATCAATACAGATGAAACACTCACAAAGGCCAAAATATATTCCTGTTGTTTCTAGGACAGCAAAGGTCATCAAGCCAATTCCAGTGGAAATTGTCCAGTCTACAGAAAGAAAGAATGAGATTATGAATGAGATTATATTTTGCTCTTTCTTTCTCCATGTAAAATCAATACATTGTAATGTTCACTTACTGTTATATTTATAATAGCAGACTAATAACATTCCAACAGCAAAACAAATAATGACAAAATGGAAGAATTCATCTGAAAAAAAAAAGAAAATATTTAAGGCTCTAATTTAATGGCTGTAATTTCAATTTCCATGAAAATAAAAATCTAATATTGGAAATTGTATGCAAGCATATAGTGTGTGTATTTGTGTGTGTATACATATGCATACACATACATACATACATACATACATACATACATACATACATACATACACACACATATACACACATACATATTACATACACACACACACAAACACTCATACACACATCTGGATATATATGCATAATATGAATATTTTTATAACTTAAACAGCAGTTCAGTNGACAAAGAATGACCTTGGGCTTCTAGAAAGGAATGTTTTATTTTGAGAACAACACATTCTATAATTCTACTCCTTACTATTCCCCCTCCCAATTACCCCACTAATGAAACAGCATAGTAATAAAATAATAGAGAGTGTGGCAGGCCAAAGATCCTAAAAGGAATATGACTGCAGGCCTGGAAATGATATCTCTAAAGCAAAAAGGGAAACAGGAAGTTGTCCTAGTATGGTGCAATTATTAATGTTTGTCTTGGAATCTGGATAACGACTTCAGATCCAGGTTCCTCCTTATATCTATTTATAGACCTTGTATAGCATTAAAAGTCTCCAAGTTTTAACTATTAATAGCAGATTGGATTTGTGTAATGTCATTCTTTCTCTTCTATTTTTGAAAGTTTATTTTACAGCATACTATGATTGAACTAATATTATATATTTCCATTTAACTTCAATTTGTAAATTGTAAAAAAAAACTGTTTCAGATTTAGGCCATTGTGCTTAGCATGTGGCAGACTATATTAATGCTTCATGTACCACTTCATTTGTGACTAAAAACATGAAAAAATATACAAGTATACAAACTGTACAAACACATGATCTGCAGTCACAGTTAGATCAGAATTGTTCAACCTATATGATGTCATACTGGGAAGTTTGAACAAGTCAGTCCTCATTATTCCATTTATATTTAAGGACAATACTCTCAATCTTCACCAGTAAAAAAAAAAAAAATGAAACCTGTACCAGGTACCATTATACCTAGTGGTGGGATTCACTTACCTTCCCTACTGGTTTGTAAATGTGAACGTGCGTCCTAGCTTCGCTCGCATGCGCCTCATCTATATGTGCACACCGCCTTCTGTGCATGTATATTGCATGCACATTATGTCAGGGCAGGTGGGCGGAGCTTCCCGCAGCTGCCGCTACCGGTTCATCCGAACCGGAGAGAACTGCTAAATACCACCTCTGATTATACCTTTCTTGCAGACAGCTTATTTAAGAGCAGGATATTGGGCTCATGGTAGAAAAAGGGTGCAAAAATGTAAACATTTTAACATTTGCCCAACATTGAAAAATCTATGTCACTATCCAAATTAAATGAGATGGCAAACTACAGTATTAGGAAAACAAAAAAAAAGTTTTAAAAACCAAGTCAATACAGGAATCCATAATACATGACACTAATAAAATTGGTGTGTTGCCATCTGCCAAATGCTATGTGGAAAAGCTTTGTTTTTACTACCTGTGGAAGATCATTAGGATTGGTACCGATCTGACTTCAGGAAGAAGCTGTTCTATAAGATGGAGGCTCCAATAGAAAACTTCAACTCCCTTGTCAAGCACAGTGCTTGAAATGGCCGATTAAATTGGGACTTTCTCATCTCTGATTTTAAATGTCATATAAACCCTGGACAAAGTGGTAACATGAAAGTTGGAGAGATGTGAGAATTGGGAGATACGAATAATCATCTTTCCAAAAGTTGAAGAAACACAGATCTGATTTGTATATTTGAAAGATAATAGAAATATAAATACATTTTAGATTATTTGGGGTATTAAGTACTTCCCTCAGATCTCATAATTAATGTGCTAAATACATTTGTGGTTGAAAGTTTGCATTTTTGAAAAAAAAATTAGTTTCCTGATTTGCAGTTTGTGAGGCATATATACTACATGACTATTTTTATTCCTCATTTACAGAAAAAATATTCATCAGAATAATCGACCTATTCACTATAAAACCTCTGGATTCAGAAACTATACTTAAAAATGCAAGAGAAACAAAAGGCAGAATTATCACAGTGGAGGACCATTACCCTGAAGGTATATTAAAAATATTTGTAAAAAATATTAATAAATATTAATATTAAAAAGGAGCATCTTCACTATTTGAATGCATTGTATAATGAATGACCAGTTCTTCTTCTACCACTCTGCATCAAGGCTGCCTAAGACAGAAGGGGCTCTTTTTCCTCAAAGGAAAGACCGCCGAATATAGGTAGTTCCCGACTTATGACGATAGTTGAACCAAAAACTTCTGCTGCTAACTGAAACATTTATAAAGTGGGTTTTGCCACAGTTGTTAAGCAAATCACCCGCAGTTGTTAAGTTAGTAACATGGTTGTTAAGTAAATCTGGCGTCCCCATTGACTTTGCTTGTTGGAAAGTCACAAAAAGTGGATCACGAGACCCTGAAACACTGCAACCGTCATAAATGTGAGTCAGTTGCCAAGTGTTTGAATTTTGACCTAGCGATCAGGCTGCAACACTTACAAATGTGAAAACTGGTCACGAGTCACTTTTTTTTCAGTGCCACTGTAACTTTGTACACTAAACAAACTGTAGTAAGACGAGGATTACCTGTACTTGTCCGCGTGAATGGCTCTTGCTTCAAGCTCAGTTCCACTGCCCAACCGTTCTCTTGAGATTCAAACCATCCTCTTGTTTTAAAAAAACATTTAAAGGAAAGGCCTCTTAGGAAAGCCACAATTTCCAGTAACTATTTATTTGCTTGGACTTTGCGAGTCCCTTGGACTGCAAGGCAATCAAACCGGTCAGTCCTAGAGGAGATCAACCCTGACTGCTCTTTAGAAGGCCAAATCCTGAAGATGAAACTCAAATACTTTGGCCACCCAATGAGAAGGAAGGACTCCCTGGAGAAGAGCCTGATACTGGGAAAGATTGAGGGCAAAAGAAGAAGGGGACGACAGAGAATTAGGTGGCTGGATGGAGTCACTGAAGCAGTTGGTGTGAGCTTAAATGGACTCTGGGGGATGGTAGAGTACAGGAAGGCCTGGAGGAACGTTATCCATGGGGTCGCGATGGGTCAGACACGACTTCGCAACTAACAACAAAAAAATTATTTGCTTACTAAATGTGTGCGCTTCACATACCATCTTCTTTACATCTTACTTCTTTAGGTGGCATTGGAGAAGCTGTATCTGCTGCTCTGATTGGTGAACCAGGGATTGTGGTCCGTCGCTTGGCTGTCTCTAATGTGCCAAGAAGCGGGAAGCCGAATGAACTGCTCAAGTTGTTTGGCATCGATAAGGATGCCATCATTCAGGCAGTAAAGGCGGTGGTCTCCAAATCAAGGAATGCTGAGTAATTTCAAACTGTAACACGCTGCTTTTATCATGATTATTGGGCAGATTTTTTTTTTTTATAAAGAGCACTGTAACATTTGAGTACATGTTGAAAACCATATGCAAGCAGTTCTAATAAAAGTAAACGTTTCCGGGGAAAAAAGTTGTCTGGTTGCCTCATCAAAAAATACTTTGTATTAAAGGTAAAGGTTACCCTCACACATATGTGCTAGTTGTTCCCGACTAGGAGGTGGTGCTCATCTCCGTTTCAAAGCCAAAGAGCCAGCTCTATTCAAAGATGTCTCCATGGTCTTGTGGTCGGCATGACTAAATGCCAAAGGCACACAAAACACTGTTATCTTCCCACCAAATGTGGTTCCTATTTTTCTACTTGCATTTTTACCTGCTTTCGAATTGCTAGGTTGGCAGAAGCTGGGACAAGTAACAGGAGCTCACTCTGTTATGCAGCACTAGGGATTCGAACTGGCGACCTTTCTGATCGACAGGCTCAGCTTCTTAGCCACTGAGCCACCACTTCCCACTTTGTATTAGAAAGCTGGAATTGTTTGGAAACCTGCATGTCTAGCATAAAATGTGAAACATGGTTCTTCTATCTTCATCCTCCTAGAACACGGGTGTCCAACTCACAGCATCACATTGCTGTCGTGTGACATTTTGTGACATTTCCCCTCTTCGCAGAGCTGGCCTGTGGGCGTGGCCTGTGCTTGACACATCCGGCCCCAGGCCACCAGTTTGATATCCCTGTCCTAGAATATCAAAATTGTCATACTTTAATGGTATTGTCCAATACACTGAAATGCTTTATAAAGATGATTTTTCTGGCTGGTCACTGTTTTTAAACTATTGCTCTTTCCAGCCTTATGGTGAAGATGGACTGTTCCCCCATCTATCCATATGAATTATTTCTTGCAATTGGTGGCAAGTTCATCTCTTGGTCTTGCCTGCTTGACAGCAGGATTGTCTAAATTGTGAACATGTGGACGTAGTTCCTAGCTGACTCATTAATCAGTTCAAATAAGCAGAAGCCATAGATCAGAAGCCAGAGTCCAGCTTTGCAATCTATTATTAGCCTATCCAGCAGCCACTGAGGTGGAGAACAAGGACTCCCGAGAGAATGGACGATAAAACAAAAGTTTGCAATTATTTTCATGGCATGTCATTGTTCTTTGAGAAGTTCAGAGAATCTTGAATTTTTTCCCCCACATGGTCTTTTGTTCAGAGCCTGGTATTTTTAGGTTCAAACATGATTCTGCCTGTACTTATGTACGATAGTCCTTGACTTATATGATGTCATTTGTCCAGCTACCATTCAAAGTTACAAGGGAAATGAGAAAAATGACTTACAACCAGTCCTTGCACTTAACAATCATTACAACATCTCTATTATCGTGATCAAAATTTGCCCCTTGACAACTGATACGTATTTACTATGGTTGCAGTGTTCTGGGGTCGTCTTTGTAGACAGCAAAGTCAATGGGGGAAGCTGGGTTCGCTTAACAACCACATGTTTCATTTAACAACTGCAGTGATTCACATAACAACCATGCAAAAATGTCATAAAATGGGGCACAACTTAACTGCCTCGCTGTCTAATAATAACTATGGCACAATTGTTATAATTTGAGGATTAGCTATATGAGCAGCTGAAAGGCCTCTTAAGTTTGTATTTTATTGCCCCAAGTAATGTTTACAAGTATTCACATGCGACTATAGTGAATTACAACGCGATTTGATAAGCTGCAGGATTTTGTTGCTTATATCTAGGACCACTTCCCCCCACCTCATATACAGAAAATGAAAGTAAGTAGCATGGCATAGCAGATACAAATCAAAGCTCAGGCTTTGAATTATCTGAATTATCAAACAATTATCAAAATTATCAATACTTATTAAATGATAAGTATAAGAGATTGTGCTTTTCCACTATGCCCACTGTAGAAATCCCACCCTCACCTGCCGCTATAGTTGATGCAGCAGCTAAGGTCCATCAAAAGGTCCCTTGGGAGACAACTGTTTGGATTCTGGAGGAGCATAATAAAACATCACAACAGTCACAGTCATAGAAGTCTAGCAATGGGGTATGGCCACTAGTAGCTACAAGTGGCTGGCTAGATTCCTGGAAGGCAGTGGTATGAGACACTAGGTCCGTGATGGTGAACCTATGGCACGCATGCTGCAGGTGGCACACAGAACCATTTCTGAGGGCACGTGAAGTGTTGCCCTGTCAGCTCCAGTGAACATGCGCATGCTAGCCAGCGGATTTTCGGCCTTGATTTTTGGCCGTTTCTTGCTTTTCCCTGAAGCTGGGTTCGGGGCTGCAAATTGAGCTCCAGCTCGTCTCGCATCCTGCCCCCGTTGAACGCTGTGCCTTCCAGCCATCCCCGGAGCTGCCGTTGCAGGTGGCACAGTCGGCCAGCAGACCGAAGCCCAGGCGCTGCCCCTTGCAGACGTCCCGCGGAGTCGGGGGCTGGCTGCCGTTCCCCACCGCCTGACCTTGGTGGTCCTTCTCGCGTCATAGGAAGAGCCCACAGCAGCGCTGGAACCAAGCCACGAATTGAGAGCCCAAGAGGCTGCCTATCAGGCCGGCCATCCTCTGGGTGGGAAGCAAAAGCCAGGCGCAGCGGGACGCTCTGCTGGCAGAGCCGCCAACCCGCCACCGCTCTGCAGAGGAGCCAGAGAGAAGGGCCAGGCTTGGGACAGGTGCAGCCGTGGGATGCCTCTATGTTGGACATAGNACATACATACATACATACATACATACATACATACATACACACACATATACACACATACATATTACATACACACACACACAAACACTCATACACACATCTGGATATATATGCATAATATGAATATTTTTATAACTTAAACAGCAGTTCAGTAGGTTAACTAACTTCCCCTAGAGTCAGTAAGGAAAATACTTCCCCATGTACATTAATCAGAAAACACAGGATATGAATGTTCTTTTGTTAATTTAGTTATGACAGTCTAGGATAGAAATCTAAACATCTGGGTTTAAGCCTTGCCTCACAGAGAGAAGAATTTGTGATTTAAGTTTGTGATCAGTTATATTCTTACCATCTTTCTGAATCCTTGGAACCCACCATCTTGAGTGACAGACACCATTGTCACACACTGTGAGAAATGAAATTTGAATTAAAATGTATGGTTTGGCAACCCACCCACCCCCAAGCCCCTTTAACTCAATTAAGGCATTGAAGCTGACAACTATCTGTTTACCATCAAGCATTGGATAGGGACAATGTCCCTTTACATTAAAGATCCTGCTTTTATCCAATGGGCTCAATTCCTTGGACATTCTAATATGAAGAGAAGAACTATTGTTAGGAACTGTTTTAGAATTTTAGACACTGGTGACCTGAGAGCAGCAATTCAATCTTTCTACTGATCTCTATCAATTACCGTACTGTACAGACTCTTTCACTTCCTATAAATCAGGGGGATGCATAGTGCTTCCCTGACTAACTGGATAAACAGCATTAAGAACAAACTTCTATATTTCCTATCCCTTCACAGGGAAGGTAAATCAGAGAATTTATCCCATCAACTGTTCCTTCAAAAGAGCCAGTATTTGAGATCCATACAATATTTTTGTTTTTTTCAAAAATGATGTCCCTTCTGATGAGAAACTACCAGCCAAGGGTGCTTAGTTTTTCAAATCTTAGACAAATAACTAACATATGACACAAATGAAACGTACATATTGTGCAGAAGAAAACATATAGAATTTTAAACGATTATATTTACCAATTGCAGGTGTTCCTTCTGTCCCTGATTTTTCTGGTAAATAACAAGTTTGCATTTTAAAAAGGCATTTCTTTGTTTGAAAAGGATTTCATTTACGCATAATAGCATGCTTGTTACAATAGAACTGAGGAGCGGAAAATGATAGTACTCCCAGCTGCCTTGAGACCATATGCATTTTTGTTTGTATAAGTAAGATATAAAGAATGATTTTGAGAAATTGCTAACTGCCTGCAACAGATCAAGGATTTCCATTATTGTTAGAGATCATATTGGAGTTTGTGATATTCAGTGATGTTCTATTTACTGTTTTCTTAAATAAAACATTATTTAATATTCACTGTAATGAAGGAATTCTAAATATCATTAGGCCAGCCAGAATTCTTGTGCTGGATTGTCCTAAGGTTTCTTTAGCTCTGAGACACAAACTTTCTTAAGTTCAGAATCTTTACTTTTAAATGTATGACTACTTAATCTAGGCCTTTCCTTAAAAAAAAAACTGTTTAGAAACCACAAGCCTGATTTGTTTAGAATATGTATGTGCCAGGGGTGGGTTTCTCGCCCCGTTCCAACCGGTTCAGTTGGAACGAGGCCAGCGGCGTCCTCGCGCACGCACGCAGCGCGCGCGTGCATACTAGCGTCTGCGCGATGCTCCAGCTGCTCCTGGAGGATCGCGCAG